ATAATAAATTTTTTAATTACAACTATATCTCTAGCAATCACTGTTATCCAATGACATTCATTGTAGGTGATTTCGTTTGCCTTGGTATTCTTAACTGCACAAATGTTCTTTAAGGCAAGATTAAGCGTATGCACAATACGTGGTGTTCAGAAAATATGAGGATAGGTTTGCTCTACAAGTAGACCTGCAGCTCTACAAACAGGTGCATTATCAGTAATGATCTGGATGATGTTTGAAGGCCCCACCATCATGATAACTTCTTTGATTAAATTAGAAATGAAGAATTTATCCTTGTACTGTCTTTCATAGTTACAGCTTTGATAAACATAGGATAACTCTCTGTTACAGCCATAAAGTTGATAAGTCATATTCTTTGTGGATCTGTCCACCCATCACAAACCAAAGTAACTCATTTTTCCTTCCAAGCTCTTTTAGTAGGTTCGAGCAACTTCTCAATATTATTCCTCTCTCTTTGCAACAATTTCGTTCTAATGACATTATATCCAGGTGGCACGTATCCTGCAAGATTATTATTGCATGCATAGGTAAATGCATTCTTGTAATGTAGATTCCTTGCTAGGTTAAAAGGAAGTCCAGCTGAGTAAAACATTCTAGCTATTTTCCCATCTAGTTGTTCTCTCATTTGTAAATTAAATGCTTTCTCCAAAGCACTATCTATAATATATTTTCTTCTTTTTGGTTCAAATCCCTCCATCCGAAAAGGACCCTTATTAACAGTACTATCATCACTTCTAATCGAAGAAGATGATGAAAGATATGAAGCATGAGTGCGTGGAAGTGGAATATGTTTTGGAAGCTCTTTTTTACTCTTTTGCTCATCTTCACTGATTTTTCTTTGCAATTCAGCCATTTGTGTTGAGCTTATATTTGAGCATACTTTAATTCCATGATCACTAATATTCAACAAATGAGCTTTCACTCTATAATATGATCATTTGTATGCAGCATTATAAAAATTGCATTTGAATGCAATATTTCCACCCCCTTCTGATGTTTTACCTATTTTTGTCACATAACCCCACAGAGGTTTGTTGTCTTCAATAATTGTCTCGAATGGACCATCAGTAGACTCAATTCCCACACCACTAGAGCTCGTTATCCTACGAAGGATCGACACAAATTAATCCACATGAATTTGAAACATGAAATTTTTTAATTAAAAGTGTAGATATGTTGCGCCTCTGCTGGGGGTCTAAGGGGACGCTGCCCCCTGGCGGGGTCCAAGGCAGCGCCCCCGGAACAAAATGTTATTATAAGAGTTGATTTAAAGTTTTATCTACCTTCTCGGTACTGTTTGGTAACATTCGGTACCCCTCTATACCGAGCAGTACCGAGCGATACCGAGTTATGGTACCGAGTGGTACCGAGTTCCGGTACCGAGCGGTACCGAGTTCCGGTACCGAGCGATGCTGAGAGCTGTATTGAGTACCGTGCGGTACTGAGTACTGAGCGGTACCGAGTGCTGAGCGGTACCGAGCAGTACCGAGTACCGAGCAGTACGGAGCGGTACCGAGTATCGAGCAATACCGAGCGATGCCGAGTACTGAGCGGTACCAAATACTGAGTTTCGGTACCGAGCCTACAATTAAGAAAATGAAGAATGAAGAAAATGAAGAATGAAGAAAATGAACCTCCAATGCTCACGTCGCCTTCACTGTTTGTGTTATCGAGTCGCTCCGTCGACGAAGGATTCTGTCTGCTTTAATGCTCGCGTCTTCAACCCTCTTTGTCGACGAAGGATGATCCTGTCCGCTTCATGCTCTCGTCGTCGAGCCGCTCTTTCAACTACAACGAAGAAGACGAACACCTGTGTGAAAATGAAAAACCTAGCTCGCCGAAATGTTTAAGCCACATAAATGAATAGGGAGATCGAGCGGATACGCGTGTCCGATCAAATTTAAATAATATTTTAATTGGACACAACAAAGCTGTATCTGAGGCGTATCCGTATCCGACACGTGTTCGATACATCATGCCTCATAAATAGGCCTATCTGTGCAACATAGACGACAAGTGTCTTTTAACTTTTCTTGAAGCCATTGTAACATTGTGGGTCCTGATGCTAATTAACCTTGCACACACACACACTTAGGAAAAAAATTTCTATCTGTTTGATTAATTTTTTCTGTTTTAATCACATCATCTGGGACGATCCAACAATCGGTCTGGAAGATAAGTTAAAAACAAAAAAATCTAATTAGGACATCCTGATTAAGGCATCCTGGATGATATTAGCATCAGCCGGGACGATATGCTCAAATCAGAAAGAATCCGCCGCCAGATTTATTTAGGCATCTTTTATTTTTGTTCATCGTCCTGGATGATGCAGTGCAATTATGCCTAAATTAATATGGTAATTAATGAAAACAATTAAAGTTTGATTGCTTGATCACATCGGCCTGGACGATTGTAAGATCATACGGGACTAACTTGCGATCGTCCGTACGGGACGATCAGTTCACAAATCTTAGTTTCTGGACGATCAATAATTGACCTAGCTCCATTCAGGGCGATGCTCTGGACAATATGAACTGAATTGAACTAATCGTCCGGGACGATCTTTATATCAGCCTGGACAATCAAGTTATTTTTTCATCGTACAGAAATCAATTCAGGGCGATGTTCTGGACGATATTTGTCATTTTGTACGAATCGTCCTGGACGATCGTGAGTTCATCCTGGACGATCTAGTTATTCTTCCATCGTCCACACATCCATCCAGGGCGATGATCTGGACGATATTCGTCGAGTTGAACTAATCGTACAGGACGATATACTATCGTCCTGGACGATATTTGATGATTAGTTGCTAATTAGGGCAAATTTGGAGCTCTTGTTTAAAAGATATTTTGTTTTCTCAAGTAAAGATCTTTTGCTGTTGTCCTGACCTGAAAGAGCCAAGAGGAGTGGGAGAGCAAGAGAGAGAGAGAGAGGATCTTGTGAGGGGGAGTTTGTGAGGGATTTCACAAAGGTTGCTCCAAGTAAGGATCTGAGTCGTCTTCTCCGGTCGTCGTCCCTGTTTCCTTGAGGGTTCTAGAGAGGTCTACTTCAGCAACTGATCGAGGTTCTCTGCCTGCTTCAGAAGGAAGCAAAAGGAGTTGGGTTCTTTGCCTGCTTCAGGAGGAAGCAAAAGGAGTTGGGTTCTCTGCCTCACCGGGGTCGGTGGAAAGGAGTTTTTGTACGGGCTTCTCCATCTTGCTGTGGGGCAAAAGGAGAGACACTGAGTTTAGTGCAATACCCGGAGGAGAGGCTCTGGGGAGTGGACGTAGGTCAAGTTGACCGAACCACTATAAAATCTGGTGTGTTCTTTCTTATTGTACTTCCGCATTTAATTTTTGCACTTTAATTTCTATGATGATTGTTCGGTTGTATTTGTAATTTTGTTTGGAGAAATTTTTAAATACCAATTCACCCCATCTTAGTTAGCCTTGGGACTAGTTCATAAGGGTTTAACATCCCTGACAAACTTTCAATTTTTAGCACCTTTAACTGAACTCTAGCAAAAACAAAGTGGAAATTGATGATTCATAATGTTGACCCGAAATAGTTGGATCTAATGATGATGATGAATGGTTCAATCTATAGTCAATCCATCCCTAAATCAATATATGCTTGTAGTCATTTGATTTGAGTTTTGAGTCAAGCCAAGTTTGGCTATAAGATGAATCAATTTGATCTCTATCAAGTTAGACATGGTTCTTTAATGTCGATCCAAGCTCTATTTGAGCCAAAAATTAATATGATTTTAATCGATATCCATTCTCTAGAGTCAATTAGTCAAACATACATTTACGCGTTCATGAATATTCCCTTGAAAAAGTTCTATGAATTACCTTCTCATTGTTCCAAGAATTGTTTTTTTTTTCTCCATTATATTGAACTGGATTCCCAGCATACGGAATGTAGGTGTAAACAATTGTGGGTATTAGAAATATTTTTCTTTTTTAAAGTTGGATATTAGCTTTGTTACCATTGCCACACTACCAAATTTGGTTCTCAAAAACAGCTTGTCATCGCAAAAATTTCTAAAAAATAGCAAGAGAATAGTAATCAAATAGACATGTGGTAATAGGTTGAAATGCAAAATAGTAAGAAAGCAGCTCTAAACAAATCCTTTGTCGCATAATGGAGTGTTGCTCTCTGCTTGCACCTTTTCCTCATTTCAATAACATTTGCTATCATCTAGACATATTATATGAACTAAGTTTTGATGGAGGTTTTGATCCTCATCTTCACTACAGATTAAGAATGCTTTCAATTCAGTTCACATTGAGGAACCCTCCTCTTTTATAGGGAAATAGAAAGCCCTAAAAGATTCAATGCCTACTTTTCTATTTTGAAGAGAAGAATGAAGGCATTCATAATAATTTGGGTATGGAAAGGTTTCTTAAAATGGGGAAGATGCCTCCCAGTATATTACCCTTCAATGAATGAATAGGTGGTTGAAAGTCTCCCCTCTGAATAAAGCCTATTGTTTGTGAGATAATAAAGGGAAACATTGAATGCTCTCTTTCACTCACCCTAGCTTTGATGACTTGCCACTTACAGAATTTCATGTACTTAGTACACTTTCTCAACCCAAGAACTTACATAATTCAAAATTAAAATATTCTTTAATTCAAAGAACTATAAGGTTTTTCCCCTCTATTTCCAATCTTTCAGAGTTGCTACTTCGTGCCAGATTCCATGCAACTGCAGATGACTAGGATGACACTTCTTATGGCTTTAGGGATTTGTGTCCTGACAAAAACTTTAAGATTAAGCTGCTTAATATGAAAGTAAGGATTTTTTCGATGCCGGGCAGGCGAAAATCCCATTGAAGTTTGTGTGAAGTTCTCTTCTCGACTGTGCGACTTTAAGCATGTTAGTTGCTTTTTCTTATCTTAGGATCTTATGCTGTTCAACTAATGCATTCATGATTTCTGAAATCTTTTGCTCTCAATCCTCTACTGCAACTAACATAAGTTCATGTTCTCCAGGGTGGTAAAGGTTAATATCAGCTTCGCATTTGCTTTTATCCATTATATTTTGGTGAACTTTCAGTGCTCTCATTTTGAAGTTTTATGTGCCACATCTATCTTCTTGCTGCTGTGTTATGGAAGCCAACCCTTGTTCTAAAATCTGTGAAGTTATTCAGAATCCTCCGAAATTCCACGAATTTGATTTGGTTCATGAAAAGCTAAAGCATGTGCTGATCAACATAGGCAAACCTTCTGCCAGCAATTGTAAATTTATTCGGAAATTTGTCCTTTGATTGTCGCACAATTGTAGACTCCAATGTTTAATGCACTTATGGTAGCAGCTTTCTGCAGAAGCTCACTGTTCTTCAGAACTTTGGGTATTTTCTATTCTAGTTAGGTTTTAGTTTTATGTTGCTTGAGGATTTACTTGTAAGCTGATAATGACGGTGTTTCTTTCTGAGTAGAATTGTTTTGGTTGATGCCTCTGAAGTTAAGAGTTCCTGTACTGCATGTGATATTTAGACTTGCACACAATATTTTTAATGCTTCGTTTGGGATGATTTTCTTACTGTTTCTTAAAGCAGATTATTGTAAAAAAATAAAATTTTAACTAAAAAGTTATTTAATTAAGAAACAATAAGAAAGCTGTCCCAAATAAAACGTTAAGTCACATAGAAAGGAGAGAGCTACGAAGCATTTAGGGCATCTCCAACCGAAAATCTCATTTTTCACTCCAAAATGCAGTGGAACCGAAAAATGCCGTGATTCATCTCCAATCGAACGTCATTTTGCCCCGTAACCGTCGTTCGTGCTTTTCTTCCGCAAGTTCGGTAGAGACCAACAAAATGACGGAGATGAACAGTGTCACGTCAATATTGACGTCGCACTGTTCATTCGTGATCAAATGGCATGAAAAATGGCGGTCGGTTGGAGCAAAGCAAGAACGGCAAACAAGTGTTTGTCGTTCCATTGGAGTTGCCCTTAGAAAGGCACAATCCTTAGAGAGAGAGATCTTTGCAAATACACATATGATAAAAGAGAATTACAAAACTAATTAGTGCATAGTCCACTAGTATATGTAATTAGAAAAAAGAATTATAAAACTAATTAGAGCTTATGTCATTATTAGTGTGTATTTAGAACTTATGAAACTGCTTCAAGCTTAAGTTTTTGGCTTGTGTTTCAGCCAAAGAAAATGGCAATTATTTCTTCTAAACAATAAATAACATAGCATTACACCAAAGGATTGACCATTAAAGTAAGCTGAAAAAAGAATGGTATTAATTTTTATGAAATCAGCAACTTAAATGATTGCAGCTGTGCAGAAATTGCAAATAAGTGTAGCATAAATGTCAATATGATAAATTCTTCCTTTACTGTCATAAATATTTTACCATGTTACAGTTTTGCATCTTTTATAAGAATTTACATCTCATTTTCTATTTATTAATTGACCCTTGATGACACCTCTATAATAGATGATAAGTGTAGCATCAACTATAATAGATCACCCTATTCTAACTCCCACCATTCAAGGAACCATCCTTGCATCAATATCAAGCACTTACTTTCCCATCTCCTATGAAATGTGTCATTGATGTATATTTGGAGGACGTGACACGCCCTTAGATCAAATTTTTGGAAGAATTTCCTATTTTCTCTTAGTTAGAGTATTATAGCTTCTAATTTCTTTTAATTAAGTAAAACAAGCGGAATCAATAATATATCATGTCTATTATTAAAATATACAATTATATTCATACCTCAAAATTAAATTTACAATTGTCAGGAGATCAATTATCATATCAAATTAAATCGTTCTAAACTCTTAACTACAAAAAAAAATAAAATTAAATACATAAAATAAAATAAAATATGAAGATTCGATTATGTCTCACTCCACTGAATTTTGACATCTTGAAATAATGTAAAAAATACAAATTATGCTAACACCTTCGCATATTACTAGAACTTACAATTGAAATTCATACAAAGCAATAAAAACGTTATGCATATAGTCATTCAATTCAAAGTAATGTAAACATATAACTGTAAAAATATGTAGCAACCGATATGATTAATATCATATCATATGAGCAATAAACTTTGGGCAAATTGCATATCTTATGGGCAGTGATTAGTAGTCATGTAAAAGATCCATATGTTGTATCATTTCTATACCCCTTAGTTATACAATTGTACATAAAATTCTATATGTAATATTTGTCGTCTGAAATCCAGCTAATTATCTACTTAAAAGTGTAATTTTTACCTATTGTAGCAGTTGTAAGTGTTATTGGGTTATTTAGGGCTTAGATTACTTAAAGATTTGGGTTGAGGAAGTTTATTCAGAAGTTTGATTTTTTTTTTGTGAGCACTACGACGTTGGGTTCGAGTCTTTGGCACTATGCTCTTTTAAAAAAATGGAGGAAATAAGGTTTTGAGGGAGTGTTATAGCTAGGTAGTGTCATTGCGGTGCTGAGAATGAAACCTAGGAAAGTTTGTGAGAATCTGGGAGAGTTTAGAAGTTTTGTTGGTAGTTGTGGTGTTTTAGGTTGTCAGGCCGCGGCATTAGGTCAAATTAATTCTTTTTAAATTAAAAAATATCTAAAATTACTAATGCCAACCCAAATGCCTAGCAACTTACCAAGGAAGAAAGGAGGGAAGAGGAAGGAAAGAGAAGAAAAAGGAGAATATTCGAGGTTCGAAATCTGATTTTCGTTCGTCCGATCAATTAGGAGAATTATCGTGCTTAACATAGGCAATCCATGCCCCATTTCTATTTTCAATTCTAATATATATAACAAAAGGTATGCTTTGAAAGTATTTTTCTTAAGTTTTAAAAAGATTTTACAATGTAACTTTTAGTATATTAATTTATTCTCTATTTTGGATAATTTGATTATAAAAATGTAAAATTTTATCAATTGATTTGTTTTATATGAATTTTTTATTATTATAAAAAATTGTAGCATTTTTTAATTGCAGTATAATTAATAAAGTATGTTATTTTGCATTATACACAACCTCTATGAAATTGGTAAAATTTTGAACACTTTGTATTGGCAATTGAAATGTGGTGTTTTTGTATAAAAGTTGATATATGATGCTATTTTCTTAGAAAATTCAATTGCAAGCTATATTTGCATTATCATGCATTTCATGCTATGAAATTTTTGAAATGGAAAGGAAAATATTCTAAAAAATCTCTACTTGGGCCCAAGGTGGCAATGCTCAATTTTGGAATATTCTATTTTGGTTATGAATTAGCTTTGTATTAGAATTTTATTATATTTTGATATATTTTTTTTTTTGCTCTGCACCTTTCTTGAACATGTGGGAGGTGAAAGATTTGGGAGTTATAAGGGGCATCAATATACATGCATTATGCATTCATATGTGCATTTGTATATCTAAAACTTTAAGTTAAATGGTATTCTTATGATTTTATGCTAATCACTTTTAGAATTGTGCATTGAATTTTGTAGTGAGAAACAGAGTTATATACTCACTCCGTTGTTATATCATTTCAGGCAAAGGTAAATGTTCTATTGAGTAGGTTCAGTTTGATAGATAATAAATTGCATGGTTTATCATGCATTTATGATTTTGTAGCCCAAATTATATTTATATTTTGTTAGAAGTATTGGAATCTGGATTTTTGAAAATTATTATTTTGGGAAGTGAATATGTAATTTATTTTATAGGTTCTTAATGTTTAGTTGGCTTTGGTGTATATAGATTTATTGAGGATGATAAATTTAGAAGTATAGAAAAATAGGTGCCAATTCATCTTTTAGATCTTATGACATTACATGGTAGTATAAGAGTAGTGATTGTGAGGAATTAAATTAGTACCAGAGTCTTAGAAAATAATTTGTTAGTGTAGAGTGGGGGATATGGAGTTATAAATATTAAATCCTACATGTTTAATTAAAAGTGGATGAACATGGTATTGAATTCCTTTTTTTTAATAGTTGAAAGTGTTACTGTAAATTGACCTTTAATATCCTGAAATATTTGATGAACAAAGATTTAAAGGTGCTACAGTCCATAGCACAGTAGAAGCAGTAGCACCATATTCGATAATGTAGTTTGCTAGCTTGGTAGCACAATTGATGGGAGAAGCTCGAAGCAGGATGTTAGGTGTAAAAAGAGAAGATAGATCGTCATTTGTAGTTATTTCTGAGACTGAAACCTCCTCATTTTCAAGGAGTTGTAGATCCTCGGGATGTAAAGGATTGGTTATTTGAGATTGGAGAAATTATTTGATGGGATACAGTGCCCTAAAGGCCAGAATATACCTTTGGTAATGTTTCTTTTTTATGGAGAAGCTGAGCGCTAGTGGGTAAGCCAGCAGAGAGAAATTTCAAGATAGGATGAATGCTGAGATCTTCTGGGAGGGGTTTATTGAGACTTTTAGAGACTATTTTATTCCACCCTCTACATCATAATAGATACAAGATTAGTTCTTGAGGCTAGTTCATGGGAGTAAATCAGTGATGTAGTAGCTCAGTATAGCCCTTAATTAGTTAGTAACATATAGGAGAAATGTTATCATTTTTTTTTTGAGAAAACTAAAGGATAGTTTGAGGCATCCACTGGTACCCTTTCATATCTAAGAATTTTTTGAATTAGTAAGGCATACTAGGTTGGTAAAAAATGATTTGAATGCAACAGATATGGGATGTCATTAGGAGTGGAGTTAGTGGAAAGTGGCCCAAATTTGGTGGTAGAGAAGAGTCTAAGAAGGAAAGTTTTAGTGATTGCTGGTGGATCTTTAGCAGTGCCCTTCCCGTTCAGCCCATATTTGTAATTTGACCTAGTAAGAGGCAAATGAAGCTTAGGATGTGGTAACAGGTTTGGTTTATGTTTCAAAAAAACCCTATATTATTCTTTTTTATTTGGATGCTAATCATTCTTTTTTATATGAGCATGCTTTTGCTGATGTATTCATTCTAAAAATTTATATACAAAATTCATGATCTATACAATTATATCACAACTGCTCTATCCTGAGTACAAAAAATAATTAAAATAAAAACTGATACAAAACTAAGAAATCCTGGTCAATCTCACACTTTTGATTCTCTGCCTTGACCTAAAAATATTAATCACATATAATGAGCTCAAGAGCCTGGCAAGTAACCAAATCATATAAATAAACTCAACATAAGACAAACGAGCAATATGTACATCACCAGTCAAATCATAATAGTAATATTTATGTGATCATAAATATGTGTAGAGAAAGTAAAGCTCAAATACAGTATCAGTAGAGTTAGTAAAAATTAAAATAATACGGTACAAAAGCTAGTAAATTAGTACTGGTGTCAAATTGATAAAGCAATCATCCTATTAATACTATAAATCTGTAAAGAAATCATATAAAGTAGTAAAATCAAATAATCAATAGAGACTGTCGAAATTATATCAATATAGTAAAATCATATAACTATATAGACATGCTATATAATTATTCTATATTA